GTGCTGCCGGGTTGGTCCAGTAGCGCCCAGAGCGGCGCTACGGGACCAACCGGCAGCGCCCCAGCTGCTGTACCACAGGCGTCCGGAGCAAAGCTGCGGAGCATGGGGGCAGCGGGACAGCCCAGATGCACCGCGGCTGTCTCGCTGCCGGCGTCCTCAGAGGCTTTGCTCCCCGTTTCCCTGGTCTGCTGGTCTCCAGCAGACCAGGGAGACGGGCAGCAAACCCCGTTCGTAACTGCGGATCCGACATAAGTCGGATCCGCGTAACTCGGGGACTGCCTGTATAACTATTGTGCTGCTCTAGCACTCAAAAGGTGTTTGGACAATGCCCAGCAGACTCATAGGAAAATAATACCTTCACCCAGGGCACTCATGATCAAATACACAAGACACAAAAAAAACAACAATAGGAGGGAAACAGATAAGGGAGGATAAGATTAAGGATGTGGTTACACTTGCTCGTCTGCTGAATGATTTTACATGTCTTCTCACTTCAGAATAAATAAAATGGTAGCAATTCCCACACACAAAAAAATACTCTAGTGGTTTCTTTTTATTCAATGGAAAGAGGATACAGGATTATTCTGTCACCATTGAATCATGAATTATAGCTGCTTATGTAGGAAGGACAGTACAGACTTTCCAATATTTACATAGAGTCACCCCATTCCTCACCTTCGCCTTTGCAGGCAGAGTTATGGATACCAGCTCAGGGCAGAGAAGTTTGTACAATGACAGGAGAGCCTGCAGATGAGGCTGCATTCCCTGGAAGAAGATGGAGAGTTAAAATGTGCACTACAGAAAACAGCACAGAAAAGCTAACTGATACTGCAAGTCTATAAACTAGTGTTATTAATTAGTCCAAAGTAGCATTGTGGAACTAAGGAAGGAGGAAAACAGAATGTCCCTATTGAGGACTGGAAATAGTAAGGAAGTTCAGATGGAAAGAGAAGGTACAGTTTAAGTTGCTATAGATAAGATGACTAATAAATTAAAATTAGTTAATGTATTAAAAAAGTGTATCGTTACATCTATTTTGCCTAAACACACACACACACACACACACACACGGTTTTACTGGGCTACCCACACTCCCCAACTGCACCTCATTATCCAAGGACTGAACTCAGCATTACATAGTTAAACTTCCTGATATGCTACTAATTTTGTAAAATACATTAATAGCTAGCTTACAGGAAGAGTTCTGTGCATGCAACCTGTAACACATAATATAACAACTTCCAAGAGTCTTTTACTAGAACCATATAAATGTTAATTTGACATTAAAATTGGAGAGGGAGGCGGAAAGAGATAAATTGTGCCATACATAAGGAAAAAAAACCCCTGACAATTGCAGGAATTTACCACCATTTTAAGACCTCTGAATACCACCAAACCTTCTGTAATAGAGGTCTCTAGATTACCTAGACATAGCCACAGTCCCACATTTTGCAGACTTTCCCTATAAACAAACATAACAGCATCGTTTATTTCCAGTCATGAAGTCTCAGAAGCACCCTTCGCAAACCATCATCATGGTGGCAAATCCCAAATGGACAGCCTTCCTGCAGATCAAAGGTCATTGAGATTATATCTAGCTACATACCTAGTAGATGTTCAGTCTATGTCCATTACTAGAAATCTGTTTGCACCACAGAAATGTTTATAGTGTCCATGTAATTGCTAGCCATATAGCAACTTTCCTAGATAAATGCATGTCATCATTCATTGGTCTTTCATCCTAATATGTATGAAAAATGTCAGCAAGATTGGAGCACTGCTGATGGTTGTGGTGGATGGGTTCAGCTACCAATATTCTTATTGCTGATCTTGTTCTGCTACTCAATAGGATACAGCCACCACAGACAATGAGAATAGAAGACGTCAGTCTGGTGCTGTTTGACCTCCCCATGCACACATGTTAAACGGGTGTACAAAAGTTCTGTAGGCCCATAGCTTCACTAGGGATGTAAAAGGTTAATGGGCAAGCAACAGCCTAAATGGGTAATGCTTACTGGTTCCAGTTTACTGGCAGCTACCCACCCACCCCAGACAGGGGGCTGCTCTACCCCCAGTGATCACCCCGTGTCTGTGCCAGGCCCAGCCTACTCCCCGCCCCCCCAATGCAGGTTGCATGCTGGCTCCCTGGGAGCAGGGCCAGAAGCCCTTGCTGGCTCAGCTCCTGGATAGGAGGGTTTGCTGCTGGCTCTGTTGTATAGTTTATATAAGCTTTATACTGCAGAGCAAGCAGCATGTAACAACTATGATTTTAGCAATTACATGCTTACCTTTTTACACACATTTTTACATCCCTACTTCATACCAAACTTGACCTATTTCTGTAGAAATATCAGCATCAAGGGCTCAGAATTCAGTTGTGGCGGCTGTTGCTATACAAGTGTACACCTCTTTTCAACATGCTGTCTGTTTCCAAAAAATTAATGTTTTCAGCTGCTTGATATTCCATCCAGAAAGTTTAATACTGAGCTGGTCAGCCAGAAAAAGTGAGACTTAGGTCTTTAATGCTTCAATGGCCTTAAGCAGTTTGATACAGAAAACCAAACCCTCCAAATAGCCTGTCTGCAAAAACTTCAGCAGCAAAGCCCCAAACCATTTGTTTCCTGCCATTGTCAGATCCTCATCAAAAGCAGACTACCTGAAAGTGGACAGTTTAATTTTAAAAAGTCAAAATATTTTCTTGAAATGTTTGTATTTTGAGAATTCAACATAAAAATGAGAATTTCAATGTCATTAATAACTTTGATAGCTGCAAAAAGGGAGAGAGTCCTGAATATCAATGTGTTGAGAATATTTCTTATTTCAGTTTTTTCACCCTCTACAGCCTGCACATCAGTTACCATTATTCGGATTGAGCACTGTGAGAAACATTTCCAAGTCAATAAAACTCAGGTGTGTTACTGTTGAATAGACTAAAGCTCTCTCCCAAAATCATTTACATTCTATAGACATTACATTCGGTGTCATGGTCTACTTCTGAGATGGACAGCTTGTTAGCTGTCAGTGGAGATCTTAGCCCACTGTTTTGGTATTGTTAGATACAAGTGCTGCAGACGTGTATGAAGAGGTGAATGGAAGATGGCAGAATGGACTACAGGAAAAGAAAAGAGAAGCAAAGAAATCACTTTCAAATGTATGTAATGTTATCATCCCTAGCTGTAAAATGTGTAACTTTTTTGTAAGTGCCATTGCTTAGGTGCTTGGAAGTGACACAAAGTCCAAACTAGGGATGTATGCACGTTAGGGACAACCCTTGTGCTAAAAGAGGAGCGGTGTGTGCAGCTCCTGGCATTCGAAAGGCTGGAAGCTACTGTTCTGAGGTCTAACATCACCATCCTCTGAAATGGTATCTGCCATTGAAGTGTCCTGTGAAAAACATCAACCGTAAAAGTGTAAGCCTAGTTCTAGTTATACTGCTTACATGTTTCATGATTTATAGCCACTCACCATCTTTGCTTGTAGATCTATCAGTCTCCTCACACGAAAAGGTTTAACTGGGAAAAGAGAAAAAAAATTAAGATCACGGGTAGAAAACACGTGACAAGTGGGTACAAATGAAAGTCTCTTAGCCAGGGGTGGGCAAACTACTGCCTAGAGACCACATCTGGCCCATTGGCCATTTTAATCCAGCACTCAAGCATCCACTGGAGAGCGAGTCTAGAGCTTGCCCTGCTTCACACATGCCATGGCTCTGCATAACTTCCAGAAGCAGCAGCATGTCCTTCATGGGGGCAGCCAGAGGGCTCCATGTGCTGTCCCTGCTCCAAGTGCTGGCTCTGCAGTTCCCATTGGTTGGAACCACAGCCAACAGGAGCTGCAGAGGACGTGCCTACACACAGGTGGGGCTGTGGTTGTGCACAGAGCCGCCTGCCCATGCTTCCACGTAGGACCCAGCCATAAGGAGGACATTCCACTGCTTCTGGGAGCTTCTTGAGGTAGTAAGGGCTCTGGATTCCTAAGCCACCCTCCTCCCTGCCCATCCTCTAAACCCCTCAATCCCAGCCAAGGGTACCCTCCTCCACTCCAAACTCCTTATCCTCAGCTCTCCCCCAGAGCCCACACCCCCAATCAGAGCCATCACACAAACACCACTGTACTCCAACCGCTTGCTCGAGCTTAGAGCTTCCTCCTATTCCTGAAACCTCATGGTGCAGCCTTGAGTCCCCTTCTGCACCCCAAACTCTGCATCTCTAGCCCAACCCTAGAGCCCACACCGCCCCCGAGCCCCTCATTTCTGGCCCCACCCCAGAGCACCATCTCTCAGCCGGAGCCCTCACCCTCTTCAGCAGTCCAACCCCAATTTCGTGATCATTCAAGGCCCTTCATAGACTTTCTATACCCTGATATGGCCCTCAAGCCAAAAAGTTTATCCACCCCCACTCTCAGCCAAGCCATCTGAACAAACCGAGATTCACATAGAAAAGGGCAGAAAAGGCAGGAACAGAGAGATCCATTATCAGCTTTATGCAGAAATTACTCAAAGGTTTTTTGGCCTGCTAGGCAAGTCAGCCTAAATGAGCATAAATGGTCCTTTCCGGCTACCATAGGAAGAAAGCACTGGGGAAGATAATGACCATCCCTTTTCTGAGCACATGAAATGAGACCTGTATCACACAAATAAATGATCAATGCACATTTATGTTCAACGTGGTCCAATCAACTGGATCCATACGAGCTGTCAGGATCCAGTTGTATGGACTGACTCACCATTCTCTTTTCTAGTCAGCAGATACAGCAGATGACAAATATAGGGACACTGTAGAGGAAAAGCATCAGTAAATAATCAGATTCACAGGATAGTTAAAAGGCTAATATCAGAAACTACTGCTACCAGACACAGCTAACAGATAAGTATCAATTACTTAAGTAAATCTTCACAGGAACTTGCTGCCATACTGAGGTTAAAGTGCTCCCATCAGTTACCATGATACAGATCATGCATCGGATTCCTCAAAAAGAAGCTGTATGTTACATGTATAAAATATTTGTCAATTCTAATGGAGAATTGCACTATCAGTACATTTGTCAGTAGTTTCATTTGACACCATTACACACATTTCTCGGTGTTGTTCTGTCAGGGTCCATTAAGAGATGGCCCTTGTTTCTCAAGTCAGGTTTAAACAATTCATAAGCTGGTGAGCAAAATGACATGAATTAATGTACATAAAGCCAGCTCCTTTTCAATCACAGCTTTTATTTGCAGCAAATGCATTGTGGGCCTGGCTCTAATTTATCTGGGCCAGATATTAATCTTTGCTGGACTGTCCACTGACTTATGACAGAAACTAGTATATAAAATTATAAGAATTATAAGAATTGGGGTCCAATTTTTAGCAGACATCACAAACAAAACAGAGCGACTCCCTCCCCCCCGGGATATATTTCCTGCAGTCGGTCTACTGTAGTCAAATACATTTTAAACATTATGCAGTATTTTTCACTATTAACAGTAATTAATGCCTCTGCTTTCTCATGGAAAATCCCTATGGGATTTAAATAGAAAAATGTTCTCGGATATTGTTTTAAAAACCTTACAGAAACAGAATGTTGCTCCTACTAGAGTATTCCATATGTCAGTTAAAAAAAAACAAATCTACAGAAATGGCCTCAATCTCTCAAATTCCATACGTTTTTAGGATAAATTATCTCTTTGAAGCTTTCCAATAGTCCCACAAGGCAGCATATGAAAATGTTACATGCTTTTCTGACCTCCAAGTACATTTCTAAACAGATCAGTAAGTCACACCTTCCCAACATACACAATGCGTGACCTGAAATCCCAGAGAATAAAGGATTTATGTAAATGACATATTTTTAAAAAAAAGTCACACTACTGCTTGATTCCTACTTAAGTTACATTAGTTTTAGGTAGAATGGCATTTGGATTCTCTATTTTTTAAATAGGCAAAAAAGAGCATGTTAAAGCAATGTTTATAGTATGCAGTCAGTTCCATCCCAGAACCTGGAGGTTTTACCTGTTCACTGTATGAATCAAAGGCAATGCTAGACACTGCAGTGCCACACTGTCTCTTGGGAACTAAGACAGCATTCAGTGTCATTCTGCTCTTGTTACAGAGTATAAAGCCCTGGATGTTCATTTACACAATCTTGTTGGAGGGCTCCAAATTAGAGTAATCCTATATTGAATTCTCAGTGTGCTAGGTTCAGAAGTAGTCTTGAATTATTAGAAAAACAAAAAACACAAGAGTGAAGAGGGTTAGCTACTCTACTATTAACACATACTCCAGCACTAGAGGAAAGGACTTCACTCTCTAGCTCCTACAGATCAGCACAGTAGACATAGTAAAATGTACAGTGCAAATGAAGTTTGTTCAGAACCAAAGGAACAGTCTCTTGTTCACCTTACCAGCTTCTCATCTTGCAGGGAGCAGAAGAAGAAGCCATAGAGGGCATGAAGCTTCTCTTTGTGATCAATGAAGTCAAACATTGCAATCAGCCATCTTAAGAAGAGCAACTACAACAAAACAAGAAAAATCACTGGGCAATAAATGATGGAAAAAACCCGAGATGGATAGATCACCCTGTTTCACAGAGGGTTTATTTAAAGGGTGTACACCCTCCTTGAGATCAGCAAGGCAGCCAGGTGATGTCTCTGGCTATACCAAACAGTTCAATCTCCTTGCTATGATGCTAAAACTTTAGGAGAGCAGTAAACACTAAATTTAGAATGGAGAGATTGCCCTGATTTTGAGCCCATACTAACCTCTAGGGAACTGATCACCTGAATTTAAATTGCTCTGACAAGATAAAGACTTCAGTCTGTGTCCTTTCAAAAGGATATTTGAGACCTTATTGTGTTCAGATCTTGAATTATCATGACAGGCAGGAACATGTTGCTGTATTTTGGAGAAATGCTTGACACTACAGAAGCATATTGATGCAAGTAGCTTTTCTACGAGATTCAAAAATACAGAATAAGCAGAAGTTGTGCCTATTTCACACAACTCTGCCAAAGATCTACTATTCCAGTACTAGGCTTCTCTACCATTTTTGCTAACAGATACCAAACCATGTGATTACTTTAAACACTAAGCCTCTGGATTTCCTGTTCCCATCAACTACTTGCACTGAGTCATCTGTCTCCAGTAGACATTACTACAAGTGTTTGTAAAGTTACCTGGGTGCTGCAAGAGCAGTTGCCGACACAAAGCCAGGACACAGCTGAAACCACTGAACTTTCTGCTATTATTGAGGCTGGAATCAAGCATTTCAAGATCCGACTATTTACTGTATCAGCTAGAAAAAAAAGACCATTTAAAGTAAGACATTGCTTTGAGTTCCAAGCTCTTTGGCATGTCTTATGCACTATGTATTTTCTGGGATAGCTGCAAGTAGGTAAATAATCTATCATAGGCTGTAATAAGAGTTTAACAAGGACTTATCTCCACTCCCTCAATGCAGTTACTTAATACTTTCAGCAGTGTAACTCCAAGAGGGGAAGGGGGAGGAACAGCCTATTGATGTGCAGTAGCCTAGATACCTGGAGTGCTACAGAAGTATGAACTGGACAAAAAATGAATTTGAATCAGCATAAGGGTCACAGTATTTGAAACCATTTCAAACTATACATTCAAGTGGCCTGAAAGCTAAAATCAGCATCTTAATTTTCCTGTTTTAGCCACTACAGCCAGTGTCTAATACATCCTAATTACCAGTATTGTCTAGTGGAAATAAAATTAGACCACCCAAGGATTTTAGTATTAAAATAGTGTTTAGTTCTTTAGTTAGAATCAGACAAATGTAACAGGAATCCTTTATAACTATTTGACTATGGAACAAAACATTAAAAACACTTGCATTAGTGTGTTCTTTTGTTTCCATAGTGTGTGAGTCAGTAGCTTGACAGTGTTTGAGAGAGACAAAACACCACGGCTGTGTCTACATTGGCTCCCTTTTCCGGAAAAGGGATGCTAATGAGACCAGTCGGAATTGCAAATGTCACAGGGGATTTAAATATCCCCCGTGGTATTTGCATGAACATGGCTGCCGCTTTTTTCCGGCTCGAGGCTTTGCCGGAGAAAAGCGCCAGTCTAGACGGGATCTTTCGGAAAATAAAGCCTTTTCCGGAAGATCCCTTATTCCTCAGGAATAGGGTGCCAATGTAGACACAGCCCACTAGTGTATGAAAAGCACTGTTGTGCCAATTTAAAACTCATACTTTAAAGTTCAAGAGGGACCACTGTGTTCATATAGTCTGACCTCCTACACATTGCAAGCCACAGAACCTCATCCACCATCAATGCTGTAACAGACCCTTAATCTCTGGTGAGTTACTGAAGTTCTCAAACCATGATGGTCTATCCTTAGTCCTGCCATGAATGCAGGGGACTGGAGGACCCTTTCACTTCTACGTATTCACACTTTACACTAGTTTGAACCCCATGCCACAGAAGAAGGCGAAAATCCCCAAGGTGTGTCAGTTTAACAGGAGGGAAAATTGGAAGTTGCTATGAAACTGGCAGGTAAAATATGGACTAAATTTGAGTTTTGTAAACATAATACCAATAGAAATGCTTCCTTAGACCTTTTCAAAAAGAACATACCAAACTGCATTCCATTGCAGCAAGGCTGTGGAACCTACACCCAACAAGGCTCCACCTCCCCCGGGGCATTGGTCACGAATGCAGAGGGCCATGGCTGGCAACCCACTGCAGAGAAGTGGGAGGAGCCCTGAACCTCATGAGTCTGATCTAGGCAAGTAGGGGCCAAATCTGCCCTGTAGGCTGTGCATGGCAAGGGGGATGACGTGACTCCTGAACCCTGCAGGAAAGCACTCAATGCGGGCACATTCCATCGTCTCTCCCACTGGCCGAATCATGGCCAGGCCAATAGAAGCAATGGGGAACATCCCATCCCCTATCCTCTCCCACCCATCTCAGCACAGTCTCTCACCTCCACCCTGAACTCATATCCCCATCCTGCTCCTCTAACCTATGGGCTGCCCAGACCCCGCAACCTCACTCATAGGCCACACTGCCAGGTCATTCTTGCACCGTACCTCCAGCCCACAGCTCACCTCAGCCCACTCTCTGGCGGCTACTCCTGTGCACAGAACTCCTCATTTCTGGGCCCACAGAGGGAAAACTTACTAGCCTTGGTCTCCCTAGGCTCTGGGGTAGAGCTTGAGAGTAATAAGATGAATATCTGTTTCCTGCTTCTCAGCTGAGGGCCTCATCTATGGGCAAGTAGCCACCCAACCCAAAAAAGGTTCTATATCCCTGCATTACAGCATTTGCAACATGATGCTAGTCAATTTCACTTTCTAGCTCTCCTGTATTAGTCTATTGTGGTTACTCATAACAAGGGAAAAGTTTAAAAAAAATCAGAGTGAGAAGTGAATTAAGTGTTTAAAATTTCACTTATGGTTTGTAGTGCTACGAACAGTAAAGTGTGAGATTGTGTTTCACATCCGTAATTTAGGGTTTTTTTCTTTTTCTTTTTTTAAAAGAATCACCATTTTAGGCCAAAAAAGGACCTCCTAAAGTTATAACCAGAAGAAAATATCCTTCACAATCAAACTTGTAGCTTTAGGTTTTTTACTATTACTTGTTTAAAAAACACTGTATCATCATCAATTTAAAAGCAAAATAGTGGTCAATAATTTTGAAGAACACACTTATTGAGTCTGCACTGATGCTTCGTTCCTTAATCCGTCTGAGAGAGTGACAAACCATGACAATACAACCACCATAACATATTCTCTCAAAAGCCATGGATATGGTAGGAAGGCAAGGGAAGGGAAGGAAGAGACATTCATTCACAGTGGAAATGAGAGACATTTCTGAATGTTTTACCAAGTCGACCACTGAGCGCCACATTCAGCAACACATCAAGTCCTTCTGGAGATAACCCTCTCTGCAGGGCAATTGTTTCCACAGTAGCCAAGTGTTTCTGCAGGACCTCATTCTTTCTCAGTGGAATGTGGTCTTTCGCTAAAGGAAGTAAAATATTTAGGGATTAAAATACACCTTCTCAGGAGGATGATTATCAGGATGTACGTCCACATGCATTCTACCCCAAATCAGTCTTCTGTTCTTAGTTTACCACTTTAAGAGAAAACACTATGATACTCAAAAGTTGCTGACTGCCCAAAACTCCCATTAACTCTTCCCCAATATAGTTTGTTCTCTGCCTGGAGAAAATAAAGAGGAGGAGAAATAAGATAGAATAAGGATTACATAACCATAGGGACAGCAGTTGTATATGAAGCTATTTCAAACTTATTTAAAAGTGGACTTGATAGTGCCCTTTTCAATATCATAAGCAAAGTGCTATCACTGCTCTTACCTCTCTCAAAATAGGTCAGAGCTTGCTCTAGATAGTCTTCTGTGTTGTTGCCTGCCTGCTCACTGACAGATTGTTGCTTCTCTTTCTCAGGTTTCTGAGTACTTTTCAAATCCACAGTCTTTGGGCCAGATTTTCTCTCTCCTATTTGCCATGCAGAGAGATCAGTTTGGCTGCTAGGGCGAACGTGCAAAGCCTGCTTTGGATTCTTGGCATTTCCCCTTTGCTTCATCCCTTCAGTCTCCCAGCTGGGAAGGGCAAATTAGGTAATCATTCATCTGCCAGTCTGGTTTCAAACCTTTCCCCAGAACAGGCAAGAATGTAAACCAAGGTCCCCAAAGCTTGATATATTCCCAGCAGTTGAAGAACATCAAAGAGTCGCTTGCCTGAAAGATGATGAAAATCAGTTTATAATCACAGCCTTTTCAACAACCCCACTAACGGGTCTGTTATAAAGTTACAGTAATTACAACTTGCTATAAGCCACTTAGCAACACGTACCCCAAAAAGGTCAGATAATCCAGTTAGAAGAGCACCTACATACACAACTTCCAGTACACATACAAGCCCAATTCTTCTCTCCAGCAGAGAACGATGAAGGAAAGCTCACAAGTAGTGATTCTTAAAGGCGAATACCTCAGCTTGAAAATTAAGTGTCTGAAAGACATTTATAATTGTAACACCTAACACTGAGAAAGTTAATACAAATAATAATTTTTTTCCAGCTTATTTTGTGCATTTGGCACCATTTGTGCAGTTTCACTGTTTTATTGAGGACAAATTGTGACATAGTGGGGGTGTTGTCTGTTTTGTAAACCAGTGCTCTCTCCTGGCTGTGTTGTTTGATTCACTCCACACATGTATTGGCCTAGACACCTAGTCCCAGCCTGAGCAGATGGTTCCTAGAGGGAGAGATGAAGGTAGGTGGGGACGGCCACCTGGCTGTGGGAGGGGAGGGGAAGGGGTGGGAAAGGGGTAGGACTTGGGAGCTGGGTCAGTCTTGGCTGGAGGAAGCATGAGGAAAACAGGGGCCCATAAACTCCTTCCCCCCAGAGCAATAAGCCTGGCTGCCCTGTCTCCTGTGGTAACACCAACCCTAAGCTAGGCCGTGTCTCTGCAAACCAATAAACCTTCTACACTACTGACTGGCTGAGAGTCACATCTGGCTGCAGATGGGGGCCCTTCAACATGCCATCACACAGATCTTCAACCCACAGATCCTCAGCCTGTGGATTATGACTTCCTGCAGCTAGAATTTCCAATTTTGCAACAGCCAGGGACCTGATATTTTCTGTCTCTCTGTCCTGCTGGATCCCGTATTAAGTAGTCTTTTGCTCTCAGGGTTTCCCTTCAAGAAGAAGTTAAGTGGCAGGGGAGTTTGCAACCACCCTCTATTTTCTATGAGAGAGTATTTGAAATCGGATTTTCTCCTCTAGCACACTGACCAAAGCACCAAGCAGAATGCAGAAGTAATGCTGGGGATGACTGCTCTACCTGGTTCACAAGTAGTTTGGCATTGCTGGCTCTCCAGCCCACCAGACTCCTAGCTAGAAAGGTTTTTAGGTAGCTGTGTTCCCAGTAAGCCCTGTGCTTGTGCGGCCGCCTGGGAGAGATTCCCATGCCACACAGCGGATTAGCAAAGCGCTCACAGCTAGGTTTTGTTTCTGCGGGGGGTGCATATTGTGCATGTCTCGGTGCACAAAAATTGTTCCACACATGGATGGGAAAAAATCCACGTACGTGGAAAAGACGAGAGGGAACATTGTTAGGTAGGTCAGCTAGAGTGCAGGAAAATCACTGGCCTAAGGGCGGGGGGTGGGATATTCCACAGGTCGCTTTAAATACCCCGCAGCGCCCCCGTGAAGGGGGAAAGACCGACAGAGGCGCACGCAGGGCGGCGAGCACACAGGGAGGAGTCTGGCCCGCGGCCACGGGCC